ATTAATTCGAAAAGTATGATACATTCCACATTGATGTTTGTGAACTTGATAAAATCAAGAAATTTAGGACATTCTTGTAATTTTAGAACATTCACCTAAGCATAAACGCCAAAATACTTCAACTCTTTTAAGTAGTCTATTAGAATTTTGTTTTGATGAGATATATAACTACATGTCAGTTTACCAAATATCTGGACCGAATTTGATGCATTTCTCATGTTTTATTTGATAATTGTTCTTTTTAGAAGTTGAAATGAAATCCTATTCGATTGATCGATTAATCAACAGATCTCTTTATTTTTATACAATTATCTCTGAATTCTGTAATTTTACAAAACTTCACGTTTAATTCATTAGTAAAAATGCTATGTCATACTGTACACTTGATGACGAAATTTAATGATTTTTGTTAAGTTTAATGTAGTAGTAGTAGTAGTGCTAGTCTTTATTAAGAGTGATATACAGCACTATATATTTTGAAGTCGAGTTTTTGTCTTACATTAAATTTTTAATCGGAAAAAACCAAACAAAGATACGAACTCAGTTTCATTTCTATTTGAAGATCAGCTACTATACAAAAGGGCTTTAACTTACATGGCTTACTTTTAATACACTCCAAATTATTGATTTTCTTGTTTTTAACCAACTTTTAATTCATTCAGTTGGACTTGATTGTTATGGCAGAACGATATTTGTAACGACAAGTTGATATTTTTTCCAGTTAATTCTTTTCGGAAAGTAGTCAGAATCTGAGTATTTTTGCTTTTTTCATTTTCATGAACAAATGTATTCCTTCTATCTGGGATTTCCACATTTTGTCCAGTCGAATGTATGTCCACAGGTGGTCTACATGTAGTGATATAAGGGAAGATATGTCATGGCATCTGACGATCAAGTGATAACACTGGTAAAGCTGAAGAGACGTTCACTTTGTCGCATGTAGTGTTTTTCGCAGTTTGGAGAGTTCGATTTTTCTTTTATCATTTCGTCCTTTGTTTTACACAGGATTGATTGAAGTGATTTTTTTATTTGTGTGTTACACCTATTCCAAATAGTTTGAGAAATCTTGCTTCAGTTTCCGATATTCCTTTTATATATAGTAGAATGAGCAATTTATTCGTTCCTGTAGTTGATTTCGTTTCTGCTGATGTGTTAGGTTGATATTTTTTGGTGAAGTTATGCGGGTAGCCATTCTTTCAAAAGATAGTTGTCAGGAATTTTTCTTCATTTTTCCGTGATACAATGTGCTGCACTGTGTTCTCATCCTATTGAGTAAAGTTTATACGTAGTCGATTATTTGATCTGTGTGAGAGTTAGCTTATGATACATTTGATACTCCAGTTCCCTTGTCTCAGACCATGAAAGTACCAAAACCAAACCATCCAGCTCAGCGAATGAAACTCCACTAAAACTAGATGATCCAGGCTCGAATCCAACAGGTAGCATCCGTTCCTTCAATATTTCAGGTAGATACACCTTACTGATGAGTGTCAACTAGAACTAGACCTACTCAGTACATCTAACTACTTAGCATCTCAAGGTAATACACACGATATTGAACCACTTAGACTACTGGTCATATCGTTTAGCTTGATTGGCAGAAGTCGATAAACACTGTGGACTAAATAAACATAACACTAGCCACTGTTTCTACTCATTGATCGACCATTTTATTTAAGTAGATATTATTTAGACATTCATTATTCATCAGGTCACAGTATTACTGAATATTTTTTGAATAGCAATCTGAACAATGCACTTAGTGTATCATTTTTTATCTTAAACCCTTTATCTATTTACTTATTTATCAACATTATTTATCTACCTAATTTAAAAATTTAAACTTTATCACACGACCATAGAGTAGTCAGTTTCTTTTTGAATCTATCATTAAATTATGTAAACAGCAACAAGTGATTGAAGGTGTAAAATTATCATAATTTATGAAGAAATACTCATCTGCTCATTCATTCATTCATTTATTTCTCTCTTTCTCTATCTATCTATCTATCCTTAAACAGTTCATTGTTTGTTTAGTTATTCACATCTTATCATGCTCATTCAAGCATATTCTCTATGAGGTAAATAATAATGGTGACGAAAGTAAATAACCGAAAGAAACAGTAAACTTGGGATTATTATTATTATGATTATTTTGTGAATATTTCATTTTGTATGTATGCGTGCATGCGTGTAGTTCGTCACCTAGATTAAAATGACGAATTGATCATTCCATGTGTTGATCATGATGATGATTGTCGGTCAGCTTCTGTTATCGCGTGTCCATACATTCTTTGTCTTTTTCATTGAAAAATACCTTTTCGTTTTTATCATGAAATCTTAAAATGATTAGTGTGTGTTGTTTTTTTTGTTTCTGTTTTGAATCATCACTCTAATTTTAAGGTTGTCACACACACATTTTTTTTTTCTCTCTCTCTCTATACATTAATGAATATACGTAATTTTAGAAGACTTGTGAAGCGATTTACGTGTACAATAGTTTGTAGGTTAATTGAGGTCATATGTATTCGAAAACTGATCATTATTCATTATTTATTCGTGTCAATAATTTACTTCTTCTTCTTCTTCTTCTCTCTGTTCTCTTATCACAAGGCGTGATTATGAATTGATGATAACTTGTCTTATTTTTTTGGTTGGTGGAGGATTAGTTGTTCACAGAAAGTTAACTGTGTGTGTATGTCTTTTAATTTATTAGTATGATTGTGATTGTGATTATTATTATTAATTATTGTGATTAAAACATTTTATTATTGGGAAAAAAACAACTTTTCTTTGACTTCTTATTCACTCTGGGATTTATTGGTATTAATAGTTTCAGGTTGCCAGAATCACGGTGATAATCACTGAAATTATGATATCGATTTATACATAAATCGTTGTTCTAACCTCAAACAATTATGTATGTTGTTGTGGTTCACGTGTTTATATGCATGAATGAGGTAAATAATTTTATCTACTTAGTTTAAATCACGAACTGAATTTGGCTGAGGAGTGCAATAAACGAAAATATTAAGACCAAATGGAATAAGGGATCTATTTGAAGAGGACACAGTTTACATTAGACTTTAAAGCACTTTGATCGCGCCATATATCCGGATTCGAGTCTCTTCTCTTCAACTGTAACTTCTAGGTGACACTCCATTTCATACTACTTATAAATCGCTTTGTGAGTAGTATACATCACCACACTAGGACGGAACGGCTGTTTAGTGTTGCCACGTTTCAGGTGGTGATTCAGCTAATATTAGTCTGTAATTTAAACTATGGAAAGCCTATAATTTTCATAATTTCTTCTGCACTAAAAAATAGTTTTATTACTGTCTCAGCTCTCCGGAATATCAATAATGATTGGAAATTAGTATACAGCTATTCGGATTGATCATGTCGAGTGTGAGGCAGTGTCACTCACCAAAGAAACAGCCGTCTAGTACTTCCAAATTTATAAACAGTAATCTGTGGTTGGTTCGTTATGTGAATTGTGTTAAAAAAATTAGTTATCTTCTATAAATTCTGTTTAATCTAAAATTTTGGACATATTAGTCTTTATACTTTTGAATGTTTAAGTGGACTAGTCATTAAATGTTTTGTATATTCCTGACCCACACTCGCTCTGTTTTTCTTCCAACTATCCTTTCTTTTCTTTGTGTTGATTTTCGATCAAAACAAACACAAACCATAATGATGTTTTTTTTCAATTAAATTATAAGAATTTATTTAAATGAAATCGCGTTTAGCGTTAACCATTTTGTTGAACATTTGAAAACTGTCTGTTAAGTTTACTTTAACAAACTCACGAAGTTTCTGCATATCACAAAGGAAGGCGAGTTGTTTAAACGTTTCATATAAATGTTAAATTTCTCTACTCTCAATAGAATATATTGAAAATATTGATATTTAGTCATATTTGAAAATTTCATTCAATTTGTATCGAGTACAGTATGTAAAAATGTCCATAAATGCTTTGGTACGGCCAACAGCGAGGAGAGTCCGCTTCCCGCACCCGGTCACGCGTATATAGACACTTAGAAAAGTTTTACTCACTGCTTTCTCGTGGCAAGGGTGTTGTTCCACGGAATTGAGAGTACCATAAACGAATGTCCGGCGCTTTAACCGGGTTGGTGAGTATGGAGGATCCACATAGGGAATTTAGAAAACCCTGATTCCAAGTCAGTGGTGCATATGGGCTCCAGAAGCCTGACGGGACGAATGGAATACGCACTTATTGTTGATCGCCGGCTACCATGTGACTGAATCTCTTAACATTTCTCCATTGCCTAGTGGATCAGACTTTTGGGTCAAAAGAATATCACTTGCTTTAGCTTGAGCGTCCAGACAGAGTATCTCAGCCCATTCAAGAAATCAGTACTTTGTCTGGCGCAAAAATATTTTTTGTGCCCCTTTGTACTATTGTTTATACGTTTAAATAAATAGAAGTAAGGAAGGTGAAAGATAGGGTTAAGCTGTATATTTAGTGTATTTTTTAGTGCATTGACTCTTTCATCAATATATAAGAGTTATTAAAACTACTTTCACTGGTTTTTGATCCATTTTTAGACTGATATTCGGAATTATGTAAGAGAACTCAGGAGCTCATATTTCTTCGTTATCACATCCATATTGAATTGACTATTTGTAGCTAGCTTAATGTTATAATGTTGAAAATTAGAGAATTTATATTCAAATCAAACTGATTAACATTGTATAAGCATTTGTACGGGTAAAATTTTATTTTTTTAAAAATTTCTACAAATAAAAAACCTGTTCATGCATTAAATATTACTGAGGTAAGAAAAATCGATCATTTGGAGTTTCAAAAAAAACAACAGTTTTTCTCACTATGCATACACATACATAGTCCACGATATGTAGAGTTTTATTTTTTCATCAGTGAAATTTTTAATGAATATACTTTTAATAGTGTATTATTTATGGGGATTGATGTTTGATTTATTTTTCCTCTTCTTTTCTATGTCGCGTAGTATACTACTATACACTAATCCGTTTGGTTGTGATCAGTCAACTTATTGCCAGTAATCTATGTTCATCTGTTCTGGCGTCATCATCATCATCATCATCATCATCATCTAGTTCAAGTGTGAATTTTATTCAAACTGACCATGATCTAGATAAGACCAAGTGTATTCAGTCACTTTTAGTGAATCGACATCGAATTCCAGATTCAGCTTTCAATGCTACAAGTGAAGTAGTCGATCCAACAGGTGCTAAACGTTATAATGCACATTCTATTCGGTAAGAAATTTTTTATCTTGACATACATATACGGTTATTCAACAAAAAAGTGTGTTTCATATGGATTAGTTTAGCTATAAATCATTTTAATCATGTTACTTATTGAGTTGGGAATATTCATAAGTCATTCACAACCCATGAGATTAGATCGATGGGCAGATCAATTCAGGTGTAATTCAACTGGCCGTCAGCTACACTTCGGTTGCCCACGATCTACAGTCATCCTGAATGGGAAATCGATGTAGGTCCTCCGAGTCTTAATGAAGTTGTAAAAGCTGTAGGAGATCTGAAGTGAGGGAGAGCACAGTAGGGCCTAACAGTCTGGTGACAGTTCTATTTGGTGAAGACGCTGAGAGAATGCACAGTTTTTTGACTACCCTAGGCAACAATGCAAGCATGTTCGGGATGCGGCTTTCCACCTCGAAATTCAAAATGTTGCTTCAAGACTGGCTGGCGTCGGCACCTGAACTAGTGATAGGGATTGAAGCAATTGAGCGTGTTGCCCGCTGTTGTTATTGTTATAGCACATGTCAAAATCGCTGACATTAAAAGGATTTATTATCTGAAGTTTAACTGTTTAAAACTTTCTCACTTACGTTAACTGTTTATGAGTTCAAACGAAAGTCAATTTATCTAATATCCACTTTCTGATATTCATTTGATGCTTAAGTGTCAATAGATTATAGGTATGCTTAAGGAAGGTAGTGACCTTATCCAGTTAACCGTTGGAAATCAAGAAGCATTGGACGATTGTTTTATTTTTAGTACGCAACTTCCCAATAGTACACATCCGCCATCTAACCAGGCCCAGGTTTTAAAACCTTGAGATCTCTCTGTGTGAGTGCTCAAGCCAGAAACCATTGAATACGCCAACTCATTGGTCTGCGGTTTAAGGGCTTGAAAAGGGATCTGAAGGTTCTAATTTTCTCTATTGTACGAAACTTGTAACAGGCTGACTGTACATAATCCAACAAAAACTGATCGGAAAATTCAACCTTAACCAACATCAGGACAGTTTAAATACTTACCAATAGTGATGATCACTTGTACTATACATTGTCTGATAAATAAATTCTTACACAAATTCAGTAATATTTTATAAGTAATATATAGTTATCTAAAAATAAATGATCATTTAATTTGATGAAATTCATTTGTTGTACATCTGTTTTTGTTATTTTTCTGAATGGGAAGAAATGTTTTTATCATTTTTTTTCCTATAGAAATGAGAATACAGATTTTGCATGGTGTCCAGGTAAACGTATCAGTACAGATTGTGATGAATATGTTGAAATTGATATGGGTGAATTAAATATCATAACAAAAGTTGTCATAAGTGGATTACTTGCTGAAGGTGGAGTAAGTAATTGTTTTGTCTTTTCCTAGTAATTTTATAAATTACCAATAATAATAATGATAATTGCTATAATTATTATTATTTGTAGATAGATCATTTCCTTTTGAAATCATACCCATCCAATTCATAAAATGTATAGAATTTTCATTACCACTCTTAATTTAATGATACTCTTGAATCATACACATGATATACAGATAATCATGAGTTAGTCTTTATGAAAATAGGATGTTATTGGAAGATTTATTCAACATACTCTACAGTAGATAATATTGTATTGAATTTATATATATATAGATTCACTGACTATTTCAATAATAATGTGTACTCAAATTTGAGCCACATACACTTCTATGAGAGTTAGTGATACTACATTTGCCTAGTTAGACTTTTGTTGCGTTATTAGATTCGATGTACGGCTCACTGCTTTGTTGGCCTGCGACCCAATATTGATGAACATCTTTAAATATATGCTATGAAATAAATCTCTCCCCATCAGTTTCCATATGTTATACCTAGGGGAACCTCGTTTTTAGCGACGGTGGTAATGAGAAGCCAAATACGGATTCGGTTGAATGCGTTTATTTCAGACAAATGTTCATGCAGACATGAGAACGAAAAGCATACAAGCAAAGCGAAACGAAGTGAATTGGAGTGGAGAA